GACCCCCCCCCCCCCAAAAAAAAAACTACGGGCCTGGAGTCTAAATACTCACGAGATGTTCCATGACAATGTAGCAATAGCATTATGCAAATAACTAAACTAAACGTCATAGCCTCAAATCATTACAATTATATTCAGAAAGGAATGTTGCATAATAATCTGACGTATATGCTCAATATGGAAGCGAATTCAACTCGGCCACCGGTACTTGTCAAGCATGTGTCAGAGAATCCAGTATCTCCATTTGTAACGTTAGTCCCTTTGAGTGTCGCATCTAATTTGTGGTATATTTCATGGGATATACGCGTTGAACATTGCGTTATATTATGAGGTTATTACGAGGATACCTCAAAGTATATGCACGAAGAAAGTACAGCTGGAGTATCGACCTACGAGTAGCGGAGGTCGATGCGCGCCGTACTGTCTGAGTGCATACTTTGAGGTATTCTCTCAGTAACCTTATTAGTATACATCTTTTGCATACAAGGATACACCATGGGAATGCCGAAATTCAAAATGTTTAGAACAGAATCAGCGAACTTCTTTGTATGGAGTCCAGTCAAACTCTGGTGGCAGCCATGTTATTATTATTAGAGGACGCTCACGCGAGTAATCATTCCATATTTGGAATTCGCATTTTCTAATATGGTAGCATAAAAATACCCCGTAAAATACCGCAAAATTACAGCACGCTGTAATTTATGGCATTACGGTGACAAATGTAAAATAATGTGTATTATCACATTACCTAAGTTTCCAACCCAGTCCTACTATTTTCACTGTTTCACCATACAATAGGCTGTGTCTGATAGCTTCAACAACACTCTGGATATAGAAAGATCCTCGGACGGTAAAGTACACGCCATTATAGCAGCTAATGGAGAAAGGACCGTAATTGGAAAGAACGAAGAAGGCATGATGAATTACTTATCTGATCCAAGTAATGGAGCAACTAGGTTTGAATATCAAAATGGCGGACTGCTTCGGGGAACATTTACTCCACAAGGATACAATCAGTACTTAGCGTATGTTAATCTATATATTATTTATGTGTGTGTTTGTATGATTTTACATTTTAATTACCGAACCAACTTCAATTCAATATAATTAAGGAATTCAGTATTTGACATGATTGGATTCTTGTATGTGCCTTTAAAGGGCGGCAGTCGTCGTGTCGCGTCCTGTTCGATATGGGACTCATAGCGACGTATACAACGCGTGTTTATTTACATGAAATTCGAACACGCGCTGCGCGACAACCACCGCGCTTTAAATTATTATACCATAAATCATGTAAGTGATTTAATTGCACATACTATGTATTACACATATTACATATAAGTGATCAATTTCGATTCCTAGGTATGATGAAAGTGGACGTGTGTTTGCTCAGTACGACAATCTGGGTCGACGTGAACTTTATGGTAACTTTCAAGGTACTACTTCGTCAACAAAAACGACTTACAGTTCTATGAATCGAAAGCAAAGTATTGAGACAGAGGTTTTATCCGGACAAGTGAGACAGATATTTAAGACAGTCAACGGCATTGCCAAGGAAATTCTCAGTAACTTGCAGGATGGTTCTTCTGTAACTACATCTGCTGATGGAACAAAGGTGAAAGTTGTACATTCATTTGTTCATTCTTATAAACGTTCATTCATTATTTGTATTATCCATGTTTGTTTCTTCGTTCATTCGTTGGTTTGTTTGTCCGTTGCTCCAAATACGTGGATGGACTTGCTTTATGCCTTGAATAATGTGTTGCAGGTCACTAAAATCAAATCACCTCATCCAGTATGGGGTACACAGATATCTCAAGTGGCATCAACTAAGACAACATTACCATCGGGCCTTGAGAAGCGTTTGGATGTCGATCACTTTGCCTCACAGCTAGATCCAGATGACCCGCTGTCTGTGATGACAATGGGCAAACACATTAAGGTAACTGTTCTCATTCATAGATTCACAGAACAAGTTCTATCGTATTATGCAGAAAGGGTAATGTTCCGGGAAAACAAAGTTACGCAATATATATATATATATCAAACCAAGGATCCTGACATGATATTTCTTTTTTTATGTGTTACAGATAAATGGGGAGGAAATTTCGACATCTGAATACAGGCGAGCCGACAGAACGTCGACCATTACTGTGGGAAACGATGTGTAAGTCTTTATATAGAATACTTGTATACGATGTGACAATGATAATAACCACAAATAAACAGTGCTGTAATTGTATGTGAGGCACAAACTTTTGATGAAAATCCCGATTCGGGAGACCGGATCTCTCAAAACCCTCACCCTTCGAAATAGATTTACAAGAAAAACGCATCCCTTATATATAATGTATATGTAAATTCAAAATCATGGTAAAATAGATCTAGCATTGCCAAGTATCGCACATAATATCAACACAGCAAAAGTACGATCGATTAGATTCCTTAAAATGTCAAAAAGTTAACCCTTGCCCGTTTAATTTAATAAACATAATTTATAGACCCCTTAGTTTCCACCAGTGACCCCCCCCCCCCGGTATAGTATGAGCTTAAACTAATAATGGAATTATCTACACAGAATACGGAGATCTGTAAACGACGTGTATGGTAGGGAGATAATAATACAGAGACCGTCTATGGGCCTAGCTGATATAGTATTGCAATATAATGGAACTTCGTCTGAAGTGAAAGTAAAAGTGGTGGATGATCTATGGCAAACCTATGAATATGTATCCTTTTATCGCGTAGTTATCTTTTTAGTTCATATTGATTGTCCGTCGTCATCCATCACTAGCAGGATATCTCTAATTGCTAGTTTTAGCGAATATTGTTGTCATTTTTGGTAAAAAAAAATATATTGTTGACTTCCTCTTGAAAACTACGTGCTCAATTGTTTTGACACTTGGTATGTATTTGTAAGCCGGCGATACCAACTGCATTTGCCATGGCAACAATCATATAAACTGTTATAGTGTGATATGTCAAGAAATTGTGATATCAATTACCATGACAAATAGCTAAAATCTCATTGTACGCCACATTGTCAACTTTGGTTTGAGGAAGACAGACTACTAAGACAGCAAAGGTTTTTCTAGAAAAACTGGTATTATTACGACTCAATGGTTGTTTATTAAAACATCCTGAACCAATATATTTCCAGTGAATTGGATTGACTTTTGTGCGACTGTGTGAGAAAAAATATATATAAACTAAGAAACAGAGTTTGCATGATACTTGTATATAACTTTGTTTTCCGTAACTAACTGTATATTAGGATATTTTCGGGAATATCCTAAGTGAAGCTAGAAGTTCAGGATTTGAAACAAGATATGAGTACGCAGGACGAGATAAGGTGTGATTGAAAATGTTAACAAATGTTTGACATGAAGTTACGCAATGCTGGGTTATATTACAGTGCTTTCAGAAAGCCATTTCCAGCCTGAGTATTGACGGTTTATAAGTATAAAATGTTAATAAATGTGAAAACTGTCGTAGACCAATCAGACCGGTCATCGTGGCGGATGAATGCGCACCCTCAAATAGACGACAAAGTCTGCGCGTGCGCAGATGGCAATTTGGAACGCCGTGGAAGATCGTATTATTATAGCAAATGGTGCTGTTTCATTTGAATTTGAATGAAACGTTCGATACATTTTTCATAAACTACTTATAAAATATGGAAACGGCTTTTCTGAAAGCACTATATCAATAAATAGTATATAATCAGAGGTACATTACTTGGGGTTTGCAACTCGCATAGTACTGTATGGTGACATCATGTCAAGATCCCATTCAAGTCTCTTCTCGTAGATAGCGAGACTGAGGCTACGACCTTCTGACATGACGCATATCAATGTTCAAGGTTTGTAATGAAAAAAATAAACTTTTCTTGTCACTATCATAGTGAAAAATGTAATACATCGAAAATGTACAGAAAATATAGTTCTCGTAATCCGTCATATCGTGGGCAGCTATTTTGATCCACCTGGACATCCCAGTATCCTAGTTACCTCGGGCATGCGCATTCGCATTTTTTCTGAGTTGGAACGCTTATGCGAGAGCGAGATTGTGACGGGATCTTGGTATCATGTCACCGTAGTTACAAACCCCAAGTAATGTACCTCTGATATAATATACTAGTAATTTTAAACTGAGTTATTCTGGAAATAACAAGAATTATTGTTTATTTCATTCATAGCTTTCAAAGCTGGTTTTACCAAGTGGTCGGACCTATGAACTTCGATATGACGACCAGGGTAATCTGGCCAGCATCGCAATGCCGAGTGGATCTGAACATTTTCTGCGCACGCGCATACGTCCAAGAGCGCGAGACGAAATTTACCGATCACCGTTGTCATTACATTCAAGTTTCATGTCGACTTATAATTTGGACGGTGATTTGATACAAACACTTTACCCAACAACTGGTGACGTGTCACACTGGTATGATGACGCGTACAGACCAACAGCGGTATATTTTAATGACGTATACATTGAATTTGAATACAAGGACAACAGCGACCGTGTGACGTCAATGAACAGATACGACAAGTCAATCAAACAGACAGTGGTGAAATACGAGTATGATGGATTTCTACCAACGAGTGACACGATGATTGATTCCGATGAGGTCATCAGTAAATTTCAGTATACTTACAACAGTGAATTTTTATTGGAAAAAATTGATGCCTTTGTTTATGGTAGAACAACGACTCTGCAAATTCAATATGATCGATTTGGTGACTATACCAAGTACGGGTCATTTAATGTAGCAAAGGTATCACCAATGACCGAACAGATTACTGATTCGACGATTTCGTGTGACTATTCGCATGACCAACATGGCCGGCCAGCAGAGTTCAAGTGCCAGTTTGCGGAAAATGCAAATTTTGACGTTTTCCGATATAAGTTGCATTACAACAATGACTCCTTAATCACTGAAAGAATATACACGATTTTTATCAAAGGTGAACATGTAGAGAACAGGAATACGTACGTATATGATGTTGACGGCCAGCTATCCGCTGTCAAACAAAATGGCATGCTACTGGAAAGCTACGAGTATGACATAAATGGTAATCGGGTAGAATGGGGTGGAATTGGCGATGAACCACAACACAGCGCCATCTACGATGAAGCTGACATCATTAAACAACATGATACTATCGCTTACGTTTTTAGTGATGATGGGTTTCTAAATCGTAAAGGATCTACCGTTTTCACGTACAATGCAAGAGGTGAACTTGAAAGAGCATTCACACCTGGTTCATTTGATAGAAGATACAAGTACGATGCACTCAGTCGACGAATTCAAATGACGGATGTGGAAAGTGGGGACAGCGCCCGCTACGTTTATGGGAATCCTGGCAACGTTTTACAGGTTACTCATGTTATACACGGAGAGGATGACACACTTGTTACTCTATATTATAACCAACTGGGTCACTTATTTTCCATGGTAACAGATGATGTAACATATTACGTCATGTGTGATCACTTAGGTACTCCTTTAGTTGTGGTTGACTCAAGCGGAAGACTACACAAGTTAATTCGGCGCGATGCGTATGGTGCAATTCTGTTTGATTCTAACCCGGACTTCTTTCTTCCCATTGGCTATGCAGGGGGTATTTATGATCACATGACGCAGCTGACTAGGTTCCATTATCGTGATTACGACGCTACCATTGGTAGATGGACTGCACGTGACCCTAGTTTCTACAGCAGCCAACAACCTAATCTGTATCAGTATGTGTTTAATGACCCAATAAATCTACGCGATCCACTTGGTTTGGCATGCATTGGAGCAAGTTTTTATAATGGTTGGGGTGGCGGAGCCGAATTCTGTTTCGACCACACTGGTGCCTCAGTGTGTGTTGAAGGGGGTGCCGGTGTCGGTGGCTTCTCGCATGAGCTGAATTCTGGAGGACCGAAGAAGGGCCTGAGTGTTGGAGTGTTTGCCGAAGGAGGTATCAGTATCCCTGGGGTGATGAGTCATTCATTTGGTGGCAGTTATGATTTAATCAACCCGATCGACTGGGATGAAGGAAAGATTAACCCGTGCATGAAGACAGACTGGGATGTCAATTATAAACGGAGCTACGGCCCAACAAGTGTTAAATGTGGCACCGGTGGGTGCGATGTGGGCACAGCCCTTAAACCCGAAGGGGTTTCTAAAAACCCCAAATTACAAAAAGGGTTCAAAGCGGGAGCAAAAGTGTGTTATGGCCGATAAAGTGTTATTGTTTTAACAGATATATCCTATATTATATTGGCAAATCCGTGCGATTAAACCGCGTTTATCCTCTATATCTTCGTAAACAACAAAATAGTGTGATAATTGCTTATGTTGCCACACTATTCAATAAGTACCCCCCCCCCATAATCTGATCGGTATATATAAGCAGATCGAGCTAAGGACATGGCTCTTGTAGGGTTATTGGGATTTTTTCTGGTAGCAAACGCCCTCACTGATTATTATTAGTTTAGAATCCGTGATCTTACAGTTCTAGGTCATATACCAGTTAGTAACAAGGCATATATTAAATAAATGTAATAAATGCATTCATCATACATCTTCTATTGTTCGAATTATGTTTTGTTAACACTCGTACATTCACTTAAGATAGAAGCCTACTTATAAATGATAACACCAAGAATTTATTCATCTTGCAATAAATTGTACTCCAGGTCAATGAAGGATATTGACTTGTTCACTGAGTGGTCACCAGCGTAATTTTCGAGAAGTTACTTTTGATAGTATTATAACGCCTTTACCACATGTTCCTATGTTATGTCATATCTCAAATTGTAGGCTGGTGACATGGGCTGAAAAAAAACCATATATTGTTAATGATGGGGTAATTGTTATTGTTGTGAATTATTTCAAAATTCTGGGTTTTAAAAAGTGTAAAAAAATGCATGTTTTCTTTAATATTGTGTTCTTTATGGAATTGGTCTAAAAATCGAAATTTTTGAAAATGTTAGGGCAAGTTTCCCACACAAAAAATGCCACTGTGAGCACATGAAAGAATACTATTTTATTGTGCTATGGGACATGAGCTTCATGATTGTACATAATAGACCAATGAACATTGTCCTGCGATTTATGACCAATTTCTCAACAATTATGAGTAGGCTTCTACCTTAAAAAGAATATGCAAACTACCTTGTCAGGAATCAGACCATCGAGAGGCAAATCGCTGAGGAACTGATTTTGACCGCAGATTAAAACATTGTCGATTCTGTGAACGGTGTCGATAGAATCGCTAGAATTCATTGGCCAAGAAGGTTTGTAGCATTTGCTTAGTGACAATACAGATCTCGTGTCAAATGATGATATGGGATACACATGTTTACCCACCCTTCAAGGCATCAAGTCTTTCTGCTCACTCCATCGATAGAATATGTGACATGTTGGACTTGACATCCCTGTCCTACATATCTTTGTAAAACAGTGGGATAGTGTTAACATCAGAGGGTCTCTCGTCTTGAAGAGTTGGGTTGATCAGGTTGTTATGAAAGATACATTATACATAACAATGGGTAAAGGGAGCATCATAAGGGAGATGAAATCATTTTCTCAATTGCTGACAACAGATTCTATGATGTCATACTTTACCCATAATCCTTTGCTTTAAAATCAAGATGGCTGATTACATAATACTGATGAAAAGTTGAATATCTAGGGAATGAAAAGTGATATAAAAAAACTGTAAATTGCATTATCTTACATTTGTGAAGCTTTTTCTTGAGGGATGTTGTTTGGCTTGATGTTTCCTTTAAATTTAGTAGCATGTTTTATTTGTTTGATGTTCATAGGCCACATGGCCCTGGGGCATGTAGATAATGTCAGGGTGTGGAAGCTACTGTGGATAGGTACTCTACTTGCATAACATGTTCTCTCTACAATCACAGATCATTTTCGAGACATCATCGTAGACTTGGAACTCTTATAGTTGTTTTAACGTAGATGGTGTCAGTTGCCACCCTAACAGCTTCCATTGAAATTGATAAGGTGTAGACAAGCAATGTAGAATTAGATACATAATAAAATGTAAGGTTGTTGCCAAGGAGCACCAGTCACGTGTGCTGACGTAAACCAGACCCTGAATTTTCTCCAAACAGAAAGTTGTAACATGTTGTTTTTATTAAACTTTAATGTTATGAGAATGTATTTTTGTGTGTCAGTATATGACAGTATATGACAGGTAATGTAACTGGGGGTGGCAGATGTTAACAATGATTTTCGTGTAGCATTGTTTGTGTAGACCACCTTTCTGTATAACGGCGAGGTTGTAGAGGCATCGTTTGATAACAAAATTATAAATTGTAGTCCAAAGTCCAAAGGTAGATTGATCTCAAAGCAGACGCTCTCCAATTGCAATCAAATTAGTACAGACAGGATTTCATATAGGCTCTTTATTTTTTTTTAAGTCTGCAAAATGTCATTTTTTGTAACAAAATAAGGTCAAATCGACAGTTGTGCTTATTCTTGAACATGCACTTATACCTGAGATTCCATATAGACTAACTTATTGGCGATATAT